AATATGTATTTATGGGTTAATTTTGAGGGTGTCCCGGTGGGCAAGTTGGTAGTGTGCTAGCCGATCAGTCTGGAGATTGTGGTTCGATTTCCACCAGAGATTCTGGTCTACCACACTACAACGGCCGTATGGTCATAGTAACCCTGCACAGTGGGGAAGAATCGAAATTTTTTGGAAATAAATCTGGCATTTATAAACGGCTGATCCGATCGGGATAAAATTGGCGTGAGCGTAGCCAAGGAGTATTCGAGTTTAAGTTTTGAAGATAAACCCCGCAGATGCCCCAGAGACGGCGCTGTGGCGGCTCAAAGTAGGGTACCTACGACATGTAAAATTTTTAAACTCGTGCCATTTTTTTGTTTTTTTACATGCTTGGACATACTACTTATCTCTTATAATATCCGAGTTATAGGCATTTAAAAATTTAGTGATACAAAATTTACCATACCTTGGTCCGCCTTTTTTTGAATACCGGGCGTAATTTTGGACCAAATTAGTTAGACAACAAAATTTCCAATAATATACAAAAAATTTCAGATCAATATCATTTACAGATCCAAAAATATACGTTTTTTAATATAAAAATTCAAAAAATTTTAGATTTTTGCCGTTTTTTTTTTTGCCAAAAATGTGTCTTAACTCTTTTATTAATAAAATAAAATTTTCTTTAAGAACATATAACAATTTTATAGTTTTCTAAAAGGTATCTTTACTCAGAAAGCTTTGGCGTAAAAAACTTGTCCTATTTTTTGAAAATGTTGCCACTGCGTCCTTCCGAATATGACCTATTTTTTATCAAAACTTCAACTTTGAGCGACATGTTCTAAAATCCCAAAGCTGGGATCAGAAAACTGAAAGCAGTTTTGGAAACCTCAATATGTTTTCTATTTACTCCAAAAGTATTTCCCAGCCCTGAAAGAAATGTGGACCCTATGGGAAAAAAGTAAAAATCCCATTTTTGGGAATTTCATTCCTATTTTTGGGAATTGCAGGATGCCCTTTGACCTTTTCAATTTTTTTTTGCATTTTCTTATTTGAAATGACAAATTTAACAAGCGTTGAAAATTTCATTGAGTTTTGTTCATAAATAAAGATTTTGTCATATATTACATATTTGTTTAATTTCTAAAACTATGATTTATATCAAAATTTTAATAGGGTCGCAGATAGCTACAACAATTTAGTCCATATTTATCCCTTAATATCTTTTTTTAGTTAGATATGGAAATTCTCGATTCTTTACAAAAATTTTCAAGCCAATATCTCAATTACATTCAAAAATATGTTCATTTAAACCTGTATCCTTTAATTTCATATTTTTCATATTTTAGTATTAAATATGACAGAACATATTTAAATCTTATATTTACCTATTTTCTATTTGTTTGCTTATCCTTATAATTGAAAGGTCCTATTATGCTTAAATCTTCACAAATTTATAACTATTTTTTACCAAAATTTTTTCGACAGATCATTTCGTTCTGTTTCGTTTATGATCATGTAGGTAAAAATATACAGGTAATGATAATTTCTATTCATTCTCTAATAAGAAATAACAATGACTGAATTACAGGCTATAGTAATATAGTCCTAAATGTTAATAGGAAGACAATTCGTAATTTTTTACTTTGGAATACCTGTATCGGAAATGACAAGAATTGGTATATAAGTAGACTTCTCAGATTTTAAGTACCATATTTAATAAATCTACAATGAAGATTACATTAAAGTTGTGTTCCGTTTTATGGAGTGTATCTTCAAAAGGTCCAGAAAGAATTGAAGACATTTCAAATTATATAAAAACTACATATAGTAGAAAAGTAGACAAAACAGGCATATCAAAAATTGAAAACTTTTTAAAGCTTTTTGATGTAAAAAGTAAGTCTGTGGATGGAAATCAAAAGAAATTTCGATTAAAATTTTGTAGTTGGATGGAAACTACTACGGAAATCTCAACTTACAACACATCAACAGGAGCGCCTTGCAAGTCATACGAAGACTTCTGTTCAAGGTTAAAAAAAAAGAGGGTCACACAAAAATTTTTTTCAATCTCAAATGAGGAAATTGCTGATACATTTAACGAAATGCTGAAAAAGGAAAACCAACCTATGGATGCCGTACATATTGCAACTATTCTTCCTAATGCATCACCAAAACGACTTAAGCGAATTGTGGAAAGTATACCAACTCCAACATCACAATCAAATATTACTGAAGAGGAAGCAATAGCGCTTATGTTGGAACTGGGTCTCAGTCGAAATAAGTACCAAATATTAAGGAAAGCTCTGCATGAAAAAGGACACAATATATTACCATCATACAAGGCGATCCAGGAAAAAAAAACAAACTATCCTACCATCACCTATTGCTGTTAATGATGTGGATGCTTGTATTGATATATCATCTTTGCTCGAAAACACAGCATCAAGAATTGTGTCAGACTTTTCAGAAGACCAACTAAGGAAAATTCATAACTGTGATGTTGTCTTAATGTGTAAGTGAGGATGTGACGGTTTATCAGCACTTACAGAATACAAACAAGCTTGTGGAAGTCGGACATTAGCAAACTACAAAAGTGTATTTATGTCATCATTAGTGCCATTACGAATTCGTTCATATTCCCTTAATCCATCATCGTCAAGCATCGGAAATTCATTTGAAGATATATGGATCAATACAACTCCGGGTTCAAAACATTTTTGTAGACCCATTGGATTTGAATATATAAAGGAGTCAAAGAAAACAACAAAAGATTTAGTGGAATATTTAAAAGATGAAATAAATGCACTGGAGCCCATTTGCATAAAAATAAAGGAATTCTCTATTAACGTATCATATCAGCTAAGCTTAACAATGATTGATGGAAAGGTCGGCAATGCCATAACAGAAACTTCTTCCTTCTGGAGATGCTCAATATGTAATGAGAAAAAGTCACAATTCTCAAATACAAACAAAAGCAGAAGTATTAATGAAGAAGTCCTGTCTTTCGGAATTTCACCACTTCATGCCAGAATACGTTTAATCAGATGGGATTAAACATCGACAAACCACTTCCAAGTTGCGGTAGTACAAATGACGGTAATACGGCGAGAAGGTTTTTTCGTGATTTTAAAATTACTTCAAAAATAACTGGAATCGACAAGGAGTTGCTTCGAAGAGTTAACACTATTTTAATAGCACTGAATAGTAAACATAAAATTAATGGAAATCGATTTGGGGAATATACATCTGAAATTTCTAAATTACTTGTATATCTGTATCCATGGAGGGATACAGATATACAAGGACTTATATTACCTTCTGGATATGTATACCGATATGACAGATTATTTTATAGAAAATAAGTAGTGTTAGGAATTAACTATATAAGTAGGTTGTAAGAATTAATTGTATTATGTTTAAGATAAACAGTTCAAATAAAAAAAGCTATTATACTAACTTATGATATTGTATTAAATTGTGTTTTATATTTCGGTGGGCGGGAAAGGAGGTTTGTGTGGGGTGATTTAGGTGTTGTTGTGCGTGGCTCATAATAAAATTATAATTTTTTTATTGTATATACAATGTTATAGTCTTTAATAAAATAATTAACTAAATAATTTTTAAAAATTGTCCAAATATTTTATTCAACACCAAATGTATGTTCTGTCATACTTAATACTAAAATATGAAAAAGATGAAATTAAAGGACACAGGTTTAAATGAACATATTTTTGAATGTAATTGAGATATTGGCTTGAAAATTTTTGTAAAGGGTCGAGAATTTCCATATCTAACTAAAAAATTATATTAAGGGATAAATATGGACTAAATTGTTGTAACTATCTGCGACCCTATTAAAATTTTGATATAAATCATAGTTTTAGAAATTAAACAAATATGTAATATATGACAAAATCTTTATTTATGAACAAAACTCAATGAAATTTTCAACGCTTGTTAAATTTGTCATTTCAAATAAGAAAATGCAAAAAAAAAATTGAAAAGGTCTAAGGGCATCCTGCAATTCCCAAAAATAGGAATGAAAATCCCAAAAATGGGATTTTTTACTTTTTTGCCCATAGGGTCCACATTTCTTTCAGGGCTGGGAAAATAATTTTGGAGTAAATAGAAAACATATTGAGGTTTCCAAAACTGCTTTCAGTTTTCTGATCCCAGCTTTGGGATTTTAGAACATGTCGCCCAAAGTTGAAGTTTTGATAAAAAATAGGTCATATTCGGAAGGACGCAGTGGCAACATTTTCAAAAAATAGGACAAGTTTTTTACGCCAAAGCTTTCTGCGTAAAGATACCTTTTAGAAAACTATAAAATTGTTATATGTTCTTAAAGAAAATTTTATTTTATTAATAAAAGAGTTAAGACACATTTTTGGCAAAAAAAACGGCAAAAATCTAAAATTTTTTGAATTTTTAAATTAAAAAACGTATATTTTTGGATCTGTAAATGATATTGATCTGAAATTTTTTGTATATTATTGGAAATTTTGTTGTCTAACTAACAAGAAAAAAGTGAGTCCATTTGGTTCAAAATTACGCCCGGTATTCAAAAAAAGGCGGACCAAGGTATGGTAAATTTTGTATCACTAAATTTTTAAATGCCTATAACTCGGATATTATAAGAGATAAGTAGTATGTCCAAGCATGTTTTTTCAAGATCTCGTCGAGCGCTTTCAGAAAATATATATGTATTTGGATGAAAAACAATGGCACGAGTTTAAAAATTTTACATGTCGTAGGTACCCTACTTTGAGCCGCCACAGCGCCGTCCCTGGGGCATCTGCGTCCCTGCACCTTCAAAACTTAAACTCGAATACTCCTTGGCTACGCTCACGCCAAACTTTATACCGGCCGGATCAGCCGTTTAGAAATACCAGATTTATTTCCAAAAAATTTCGATTCTGCCCCACTGTGGCCTGATTGGTAAATTAGGCTAGATGCATTTTATTACAATCGAAAGATATTTTAAAAGTATTAACTAATTAAATGTTATTTATTTTCAGTTACGTATAAATAGTCCACATACTAATTATGACACTGCCATGTTGCAATTTGAGCAACTAATTAGCAACAAATATTTTGTATTGACATTCATAGAAACATTGGAAGCTCAAAAATCATTCAACATACGAGACAAGTAAGTAAACCAACTATACTAATCGAAATTAAATATAAAATTTTACTTCCAACAATATGAAGAATTTAATTCAAATTAATTTAATTAGAATTTAAAAATCACTATTAGAAGAAAGCTTGTCATCATAAAAACTTTCCATTGATAAGTTGTTTTCTTCTTTATTGCTGTTTTGCAACTCCAAAATCCATATTCTTACATGCTAAACAAGTAAGAAAGTCGGGCTTGGCCGACTATATGATACCCTACACCAGTTATGAATATTTAATGTGATTTATTTTTATTCCACCATCAAAAATGATGGGGGTATATTGTTTTTGTCATTCCGTTTGTAACACATCGAAATATTCATCATAAAAGTATATATATTCTGGATCCTTACTAAATTCTAACACGATCTAGCTATGTCCATGCAGTTTGTTTGGTATTGAAAATGGGCAATATCGGTCCACGAATTCGCCTAGCCCCCATATAAGGTCCCCTTCACAAAAAAAGAAAGCATCTATAGCGATGAAATTCGACATAAAACCTAAATCGCTCTGTAAAATTTTATAAGGATCGGTCCATAATTGACCCTACCCCCCCTATAAGGTCCCCTTCAGAAAAAGACTTTAAGGCTCATAATTGCCTTAAAGATACATCTATAGCGATGAAATACGACATGAGCATATTTTATAGGAACCTTAATATCATTGTAAAATTTTATAAGGATCGGTACATAATTGACCCTACCTCCCATATAAGGTCCCCTTCAGAAAATGACTTTAACGCTCATGTGACAGAATTCAACATGAGCATATTTTATAGGAACATTAATATGATTGTAAAATTTTATAAGGATCGGTTAGTAATTGACACTACCCCCCATATAAGGTCCCCTTTAGAAAATGGCTTTAACGCTCAAAGCTGTCTAAAAGAAGCATCTATAGTGACGAAATTCGACATGAACTTTTTTTATAGGAAACTTAATATCATTGTAATATTGTATAAGGATCGGTCCATAATTGACCCTATCCCCCATATAAGGTCCCCTTCAGAAAATGACTTTAACGCTTATAACTGTCCAAAGAAGCATCTATAGCGATGTAATTCGACGTGAACATTTCTTACAGAACCTAAATCGTTTTGTATAATTTTATAAGGATCGGTTTATAATTGAGTCTACCCCCCATATAAGGTCCCCTTCAGAAAATGGCTTTGACGCTCATAACTGCATCAATAGCGATGAAATTCGACATGAACATATTTTATAGGAACCTTAATATCATTGTAAAATTTTATAAGGATCGGCCCATAATTGACCCTAGCCCCCATATAAGGTACCCTTCAGAAAATTACTTTAACGTTCATAACTGCCTTAAGGAAGCATTCATAGCGATGAAATTCGACATGAACATATTTTATAGGAACCTTAATCGTTTTGTAAAATTTTTATAAGGATCGGTTAATAATTGACCCTATCCCCCATATAAGGTCCCCTTAAGAAAATGACTTTAACGCTCATAACTGTCTAAAAGAAGCATCTATAGCGATGTAATTCGACATGAACATATTTTACAGGAACCTAAATCGCTTTGTAAAATTTTATAAGGATCGGTTCATAATTGATCCTACCCCCATATAAAGCCCCCTTCAGAAAATGGCTTTGACGGTCATTACTGCCTAAACTAAAACCGTTCTAGAAAATTTGACGAGGATCGGTCCATAATTGACCAAAAAAAAAAGCAATTTATTGGCGAAAAACTTATTTTCTAAAAGAGGCTTTATATGGGGGATAGGAGCAAATGTGGACCGATCCTGATAAAAAGGGCTGGATAGATTTGTATTTACATAATATTTATATAATATATATAATATTTGTCTGTGCTAAATTTCATTACAATAACACTGCTAATAAATGAATTGCGGATATTCAAGTCACTTTCTGAAGGGGGCTTTGTGTGGGGGCTAGGGTCAAATGAAGTCCGATCATTCCGAAATTCGGCAGGGTCATCGAGGATTGTATAAAACATAGTTGTGCGAACTTTCATCGAGATACATTTATATCATACATAATTATGAGCTCAAAAGCCCTTTTCGGGGGTTCAGTCGTATGGGGGATAGGTGAAATAATGGACCGATTTTAACCATTTTCAATAGGCTTAGTCCTTGGATCAAAACAAACATTTGTTCCAAATTTCATCGAATTATCTTGAAAATTGCGACCTGTACTTTGATAACAACGTTTACATGGACACACGGACGGTCGGACGGACATCGTTAAATCGACTCAGAAAGTGATTCTGAGTCGAACAAAAACGGATTTCTTATTCGCGATTGCGAATAATAATGGTAAAAAAATTACAAAAATGGCTTGAGTAGATCCAGATGTTCAAATCAGAACCAAAATAGATAAACAATTTTGATATACATGAAATTGAAATACATAATGATATATAAAATTTACACATTATTTTGTCCGACAAAAAAGTAAATTTACTTTAATGTTAGATGTTATTCAGAAAAATTTTAAGTACAATAATTTAATTTTATTGTTATTTTTGTAGCATTGTATATTAACTTAACGATTTTGAAAAAAAAATTTATATTCAATAATCATTTAACCGATTTAAATAATTATATATAAAATTTACACTTTATTTTGTCCGACAAAAAAGTAAATTTACTTTAATGTTAGATGTTATTCAGAAAAATTTTAAGTACAATAATTTAGTTTTATTGTTATTTTTGTAGCATTGTATATTAACTTAATGATTTTGAAAAAAATTTCCATATTCAATAATCATTTAAACGATTTTTCGCTGAAAGAATATAGCATGAATACTTTTGCACTTTATTTTGTCCGATAGTGTATATTCCGGATCCTTATAAAATTCTACGTCGATTTAGCTATGTCGTCTGTCTGTCCGTCTGTCTAAAACACGCTCACGTTAAAACTAAGCAAAAGAAATAAACCAAATTCACCAAAAATATTCATTGTTATCCTAAGCAGTTTGGTATTGAAAATCTGCAAAATCGGCTCACAATGTAAATTTCAGACTACCTCGAAAAAAATTACGTTTTTTCGTAATTCTAAATTCGTTTTCTCAGAAATTACAAAAGTAATTCGATGAATTTTGTCACACAATACTTTTTTTACTTAGGGATCAGTTATGTTGAAAATCAAAACAATCCATCCAAAATATATAAGGTCCACTTCGAAAATCACTTAATCGCGCGTATTTCATTGATATATAAAGATATCTAGATAAAATTCAGCACGAATATGTTGTGTATACAGTTACCGTAAAAATAATAGCACCACTTCGCAGTTCGATTTTAATTTTTCGATTACGTTATTATCAATATTTTCTCCATAATTTTGTTATATTATTACTTGAAGTCTATACTCTTAAAAAGTAAAAAAAAAATTGCGAAATTAATAAGTGAATTTATAATAATACGTCCAACCGCTTATGTACTCCAATTTGGACCTGTCAAAATAATAGCACTAATAAATTTATTTTTGGCAAAAAAGCAAAGTAGTGCATAATATTTTATTAAAACCCATTAAAATAGGTAAGCTGTTATTTGTATTATTAGTTATTAAATACTACTTTTAAGAATTATAGAATTTGATTTAAAATAATAGGCTATTTCGCGCACTGCAATGGCGAAACTCGTGAAACAATTAAAAAAATTATTTCTAGCGGGAAAACATAATACCGATAAGAAATATTGCGGGATGTTCAAATAAAATGATTGCAAATTATCATATCTTACAAATTTAAATCGAAATTGCTGGACTTCAAACCACTAATTTTCGTTAAATGATTAGAGGCATAGTGCGATAAATTAAAGTAACTCCAATTTTGTTGGAACTGGAAAAAATATTAAAAAGTTTATCTGCAAAAAATGACTAAATATATATCCAGGTGACTATGAGAACACAGCTCAAGTAAAGTACTATTCTTGAAAACAAGGATGTAAAAACAATCTTAGAGTATGTTAAAACCCATTTAGATTAGCCAGTTGAAAACTGGGACTATTTGAGCAGATAAGTCCTAAATTATTTTATTTTGTAGAAAGGATTTTTGATCTTATGTAAGGAGTCCTCAAACTCAAAAATATTCAAAAAAACAGCAAAATATGGCTGTTTTAGTAATATGGTGTTTTAACGCTTTCCGTTCTATGATATAGCACCCATTATCCATATAGTATCTATCATGTAAGCATTGAAATATATTAAAATCCGTATGCAAATTGTATTGCCGAATGTATCTGATGATATTCCACCGAATTCGGTCATGAAATAATACAATAGTAATTGAGAAGGCCTGCCCAGAGTTCCGATTGAATGTCAATCGATAATTTGTATGCCGATGTAAAGAGAAAGATATCTGAAATAAAACCAACCAACAATTATGATTTTTGGAGCACTGTGGAACAATTTGGTGAATTTAATGAAAGGGGTTGGCTAGCCCCCCATGGACCTAGGGCAATGCAACCACAAGCTAATAATAATCCTTAAACTTAATTTGACACAAAACTACTCAAATTATGAGCTCTTTAAAACATTTTTTTATTTTTATTTAACATTTGAACACAAGTGGTGCTATTATTTTGACATGCATTTTCTTTAACTTTTTTTAAAAAAACCTAATTATTTTCAATAAATATGAATTTATATGATTCCGCTTTTTCTTCCATACACATTTCATAACACATTTCTCAATATTTTAAACCAATATACAAACACCACTTTTAAATAATATACTTTTTTTAATAATTCCAAATTCACTAAGGAAGTGGTGCTATTATTCTGACAGCAGCTGTATGTATCAATTAGTCTACGAATTTTTTTCTGGATAGGCCCTTACTTAATTGGCCATAGCTCCTATATAAGGTCTACTTTCGGATATCACTTAAACGCTCATATTTCATTATACCCTACAACACTTTAGTGGGGAGGGTATATTGGGTTTGTGCTGATGTTTGTAACGCACAATAATATTGGTTCTATA